GACTAACAACCTTTACTACTTACGAATTTAAGTTCATAACGATTAGGTGGAACTCCCTTATATCCTAGCATCATATTTATGCATGCAAATTAAGTGTGCACTCTCAACCCACATACATAAACAAGTTTTAATTCAAATAGATAAGTAAATTGAATTCACAATTCATGAAATCACAATTGGATGTAATCAAATCATATTGCAAGCATAGCCATGGTTTCGAAATTCCCCCTAGCTAATAGGGGTTTAGTTCCTCATGTTCACAAATAAACAAAGATAACTTAAATTAAACATTGAAATCGAAGATAGAAAACACCTAGAAACGCTCCAACAATCCAACGTCTTGGGTATAGGCACGACTCCTAGGTAGCTCCTTCTCCTTCCTTCCTTGCAATACTCACGGCACAAAAGGGATGTTTGGAGAATGATGTAGTGAATTGTGGTAGAGGGTGGTGGTGGTTTACTTGCTACACAAAGGTTTGTATTTATAGGGCTAGGGAAACCCACGAATTTCTGAAGGAAAGGAATGTGTATTTGGCACAATTCATGAAGGAAAAGGGCAAGGGTTCACCAAAATCTGAAGGGAAAAGGATTACACAATCCTAAGGGAAAAGGATTGCAGGTTATAGAGCTTCTAGAAAGGGTCCAGGCGCCAGATTTGTAGGACAAGGGATAAGGCCTTCTAAAAAGGTTGTTTTGTGGCTGATTCTTAGAAAAACAAGGGATAAGGTGCGGCACCTTTGTAGGAGTGGATAAGGGCTTCTAGAAACCTATTTTAATGTGTCCTAATCTGAAAATAAATCCCCCATGTAGCTGGAATTAAGTTAGGATAGGATTATGATATGATAAGATAAGATAAAGTTAGTTACAATTTGGATAAGATAAGGTAGTTTGGATAAGGTTATGGATAATGTTCCTTCTTTCTTGCTGGTTCCTTATCTTCTTTGTCTTGAATTTAATTTCTTCATCTCCTTATCATATTCCTAGCCTTTTGAACTCCAAAAACGTCCATCCACCTTGGCCCATACATGTGCTATCCATTTAGTGCCTAAAACTGCTCTAAAATGTTTCAAAATGCACTTTCTTGCCAACTTTGTTATTTGGACCTACAAATATGATAAGCTCATATTTATATATACTTTACATCAAATTCACTTGTTTTTTCTTAGTTAGTTCCTTATTTTTTTGAGCTATTTACTTTGTTTTTGTGTTTTCTAGGATTTGTCAAGAAAAGAAAAGAAAAATAGCACAAGTTGGATATTAAGTAACAAATTCGTCAAAACTGCCTGTGCAGGTCAGCTGATTTTGGAAGCAAGTTACGAACAGCTCAAAATGAATTAGAGAATGAGCCTTATATGCTTGGAAAGCTACGGATGTCTAGTTTCTGGAGCATTTCGTGGATTCTTAATCTCAGTTTTCTAGAAGACGTTATGGCTGTTTTAACACTGAAAGGTTCACAAGAGACTGGGCAGTTTTTAACTGCAATGAAAGCAATAAACCCAATAAATCTAGCAGCCAAAACTGATGCAGCCAAGAACAAGCCAGCTGATACCTATTCAAATATCAGAAGAAATGAAAATAAAGATGAGGATTAAGAGAGAGTAATTGGCATAAAGGCTACCCAAAGAGTTACAATTGTTTTACCATTTCCTCTCACTTATTGTCATCACTAATTGGCTGTTAGTAGGGTGAGTTATGGAGTAGAAATGGGGCAGCAAGCATGGGCATAAAGTCTGCAGGTTGCAGCGGCAAAAGAGGAGTTTTTTTTTTTAGGAAAAAAAAGATAGAAAAAAAGGAAGGAAAGGAAGGAAAAAAGGCAAGGCTGCTGCGTTGAGGAAGGAAGGAAAGGGAGGAGGCCTCGGTCGATTTCTTTTGGTTCTATCTTCTCAAACTCATGTCTATCTTTTGTTTTAACTTAAGGATTGTGTGTAACTAAATTTTTAGTAGTTAGGGGCTGTTTTGAAGCCCCATATATGATTGCAAGTTTGTTACGACATTTTGTTTGAATTACTTTTATGAATGGATGAAAATTGGTTCACTACTTGTCTCATTGATGAATTCTTTATTTGTTTTCTATGGATGCATACGTAGTAAGCATATCTAGGATTCTAACGCTATGAATATGTGTGTGCCTGCCCTTGTCCAATGAGGACCTACATATGTTATAGAGTAGTCCTTGTTAATTGCAATTAACATGTGAACCAATTTCTAGGATAAGTAAGACAACGCCAGTACCTACAATGCCTTGTGATGACTCAAACTCTTTTCGTTCTTAATGATTTCTACTTATTAAATCTATGAACAGACCATTCTAGATTGCATGTTAGGGGCTAAGTTAAGTTGAAAACGTCATTCTCTTAACATACTACGTAAGAAAGACTAATAGGTTGAGTTCTAATATTGAGCCAACTTGAGCATCTTCATCCGGAAATAAAAGGAATTTGAATGAAACATAACATGTTTGCATGATTATTTGGTGGTGGATAGCAATTCCCCTAACTCGTTTTTCTTAATTTGTGAACTACTTAAAATTTGTTTCTGTCCTATTTTTGTTCAATTTAATTTAAATAGCAAATCAACTCCAAAAATCCCAAACATTTGTAGAAGTGTAGCTCTGTGTGTCTAGTGTCTTCATTTAAAATTTCGTAGAATTTCGATAAGTGTAAGTCGGTCTAATAATTATTTTTCTGTGGCTGGTCAGTAGGGACAGCAACCAGTTTTTGTGACATTTTAAGTAGTTAGATAAAACAATCTTCTGCGGGAAAGACCCTTATTTTCATATGCTACAATTGACAAATCTTAGTGTTAATAAGGAAAATCAATAGGACATTTGTGTCACTTTGTGGTGTGCTTTTAATCCTATCAAAACACACGAAAATAGCTTAAAACACTATAATAAACACAAACAAACTATGAAAATGCAAGAAAACAAGCTAACTAAGTCTCATAAATATGCTCATATCAATGAGGTTATTGAAGAATCAACTGATTGTTAGTTATTTTGATGATGCTTTTTATTTTTAGCTCTCTTTGCTTGTTGTTTAATGCATGCTATTTGCAAACTAATGAATTTTGTTAATTGCTTTAGTTATATGTTTTGCTTTCTCATATCAATATGTTGTTATAAAATATTTTAGTATTTTCTTAAAAAATTTACGTCAAGGATGGTCCCGTTTATTCCTTTTTGCACAGAATCCCGTTTATCTCAGCCAAAATACTGGTAATTATAAGAAAGGCTGTAAACGTGATAACATTCTTGTCCCATGTATATATAAGCAAATAAATCACTAAAACATCTTTTGGCATTCAAAATCCAAAGATATATGTACTTTGATGTCTTGTATTGTTGACCAGAACCTCTGTCTTGGATTAATTGTCGATAATTCCCATATCGTTACAAACTGTGGTTTGTGATCCGAACCATGGATTGTTTAACAGGTCAAATCTCCACCATCATTATGGAGTTGGTATGTTAGTTGAGGTTAGAATTACGTACATGCATAATTAAGATATATTTTATTATATTGCCTGCTAATTAACATGCAAAGCCTTGGCCCCATGTGGATATAAACTGAGATACATGAATGAAGTTGCAATAGTTAAATATTAATTCTAAGCAAAACCTGAACAACAAAACTCTTAAAGTAGGCATGCATTCAAACAGCTTCAACTCTTAATTTTTCATAGATGACATAGCAAGAGTCACATGATAATTATATATGTAATCACGTACGTACATACATATAGTTAATATAATGGAAGCAACCACTCAATTATGGGCAGAAACAACCTTCAACTATCACTTTCTTGATCTAAGATTCATATAGCTGATCAATCTCATGTAGTGAATAAGGCTTTGTTGTTGTCATTATTGTATACAACTATATTAGTATTTGTAGTATCAAACTCGCTATTTATGGGAGGTGAACCTAAAACCAACCGCTTAGAAGTAGAAAAAAAAATACCGCTCTTTAATCCTCATTTTCTAGTTACAAATTCAATGGAAGGCATTTTTTTTTTTGGGGGAAAATCATTCAATACATTTAAATTTTAGCAACAATTATGGATACAAGCATAAGAACATTTGAAAGAGAAAACGCCCCAAGAAAGAGGACCACCAATCTCCTCGTCAGATTACAGTTTAAGTATCATTCAATGGAAGGCGTATTTGATGATTTTAAGATTCTGTTAACGTGAAACAAAAATACTATCAACTACATGTTCAAACTAAATTTATGTTATATTAAAAAAAATATTGCACAAAAAAACAAAAATAATAAACTACGAGCTTGGTGAAAGAATATTTATTTGTAATACTAAATTCATGAGCGAAAGGCTTTCGGGACATTTTCTTTTGCACACCGTTTTGATTTAGTGCTATTCTTTTTTTACTTATGGAATATCTGATTCTCACGAATGATAAGTTCCATAAAAAATGCCCATTGGTCTGTTACCCCACCCATCTTAATATTGTTTATATGAAAAAATAAAACAAAATAAACGAGAATATGCATGGTGAGAAAAAATAATATGAAAAAGTCACTTTCATTTTCTTGCCAAAATGACAATAATATCTCATTTGTGTGTTGATTTCTGGCCAATTTTGCGCAACTGTTTAGACTTTTTCAAAGCTAAAATAATATTAATTCAATGAAAGTATTGTGAACCAATTAATATAATCTAAACACAAAGCTAGCCGAAAAAACAAGAGTATCCAATCAAATAATCTTTTCTTGACCAATACTTTTTATTCTCTGAGAAATTAGTTCTTACAACCTTTACTTGTCAATTAATTAACGCGTTCTTTCATTTCTATACGCATCATTCACCAACTGCTAAGCAACTTCGCATATATACATATACATCCTGCGTATATATACACACACGCATATATCTATATATACATATATTTATACCAATTGCAACTTAATTATTAACACATTTCCTTTCACATTCATTAACTTAAAACATTGGTCTATCTCGTTCTCCAATTTAACATGCACATGGACAAGTGGTCTTTGCTGAGTCGCCTAAGGAAGGCCGTGAGGAAGGTAAGCTTCCTACTAAACCTCAACGTGAATCGCTGGCGAATTGTTTCGATGATCGGCCGTACTGTTTCTAGCAACCACCGATTGATGAGCTTCAACGACCACCCAGGGCTGAAAGTGGCGTGTGGCGATGAGACCAGCTCCGAGGAGCACTCGGGGTCTTCTAGGGGAAATCTTCAGAGGACAATAAGCTATCCATCGGATCAAGATGATATTGATCAAAGAGCAGAGATGTTCATAGCGAATTTCCGCCGCCAACTTCGGGTGGAGAGACAAATTTCGTTAGAGCTTCGGTATGGCAGAGGAAATAGTTTTGACTTGAAGTCTCCTTGATCACTTTGATTGGTGGTGATGGTGGAGGTAGCCTGTGATTTTTTTGAAGAGGGTCTCCGCTGAAATTATGTAAATCTTAAAGGGGGTTTATTTTTATTTTTGGTCTTCTTAATTTCCCTTTTTTATTTTGGGGTTAAGGACAAACAGCATACATGTTTTGATACTTTTATATATGTAAACTTATGCTACTATATTTGTATTCTTTGAACTTTGGAGAATTTTCCGAGGCATTTTTAGGGATGATATTTGGGATTATTTTGTACTTGTGGTTGATATCAAGCTTGTCATTACAGTTTTTGTTCATATTTTTGGAGAAATTCGTAAACTTGGATCTAAGGTAGATCACCAAGGTAATTAAATGTTGAAATATCTCATATCGATCGTATCTATGAGAAAAGAAGAGTTTAAATATCCTAACTCCACTCCAACTAATATCAAGGTCTTTTGTGATAAAACTCTACACTTGACGGATTGTGCAGGCGGTAATTAACAAATTGAGGAAATATTGGTGTTGTTGGAAATGGGGCCACCGAGTCTCTCTGATAATTCTACATCCTATCAGAGCTAAGGAGTGGGCCGCACGCACTACCACGTGATGGGTGGGTCCCCTTGGCTCTGCACGATAATGGTGGGTTCCTTTGTTCCATGTGTAGGGTGAATCCCCTTGGTTTTACGTGGTTGTCGATGTGTAGACTAATACCAAGGCTTTTTGTAATAAACCCCACACCTGACGAACTGTGCATGTGGTAATTACCAAGTTGGGGACAATATCGGTATTGTTGGAACCTTTTGCGATAAAACCCCACACATGACGGATTGTGCAAGTGGTAATTACCAAGTTTGGGACAATATTAGTGTTGTTGGAAGTGGGCGTTTGGCCCGTTTCTCTGATAATTCTACATTAAAACATTAATTAATTTCACAAATGGGAGCTTAGATGAATTTAGCTTGTAGAAATGTTTTAGATTGATTAATCTGAAATTGATCGATTAGTACTAATTTAACCGTAAAATAGGTCTAATCAACACTAGATCATGCAGAAGCAAAAACCAAAAAACTAAAAAAAAAAAAAAAATCTCAAACTCTTTGCCAAACATAAGGCCCACTAGAAAAGATCAATTCACTGTTGAGATATAAGTGAATTTGCAAAAATGTTCCAATTGTTCTTGTTATTTTGTTCTAATTTTAGCCTTTGGATCACAGTCCAAGTGTGTTGTCAAGATGTAATTCCATTAAGTGATAGATTATGACTTGTGTTTGATGATGTAAGAGAGAATCTCTCTCTCCTAACTTCGAGCAATGGTAATTCCCACATGAGTTATGGGAGGAATGGAATGAATGAGTCATCACTTTCTTCTTCCATAAGCTCTGGATTTTCTCTATGATTCCTTCATTCCTTGCAATCCAAATCCTTCGTGATTCAGTCACTCTCTGAATCAACCTCACCAAAATATCAAACTCTAACATGGCCTCAGAGCCAGGTTCCTTCGTCTAAAACATGGGTGTTGAATTTGTGCATTTTCTTACCATAAAACCTCAAAGAATTTGCTCAAAGTTGAGCTAAAAATTTTCGTCTGATATTGATGCGAAAATTAACTTAACACACAAATTAAACCCTCTTTTGACAATTGTAGTATATATGTAAGTAGGGATCGTTCTTAAACCGGGGATTAAGAGGGATTGCTAAAACACTTTAAACTGACTCAAATAGATAAAACTAAGCTTTAAAACACTTAACTAGACTTAAAAGACTCAAAATAAGCTAAAAACACTCAAAACTGCCTAAAACACAAACTGAGCAGTTTTTTACTCTAAACACAATTTTGGACGAAATTTGGTTTTAACTTGACTCAAAACACTTAAAAACACAATCTAAAACATATCCTAACTAGTTAGACACTCTAAAGTAAAGGGGGATTTGGTTTTGGACAAAAATAAAGTAAACAAAACAAGAACTAAAACTAAGCAGATTTGCACGAATTTGGTGGAATGAGATGGATGATGGGCTAGCTAGGAGGTCTTTCTCCACACATGACATACTTGCATACAAAACAATTTCAAGTTGCTTTTTCAATGAACCATGAACCTCAACACCCCAAGTTAATTAGGTACTCTTAAATTAAACCTCAGATTTTCCTTAAGTCATTGAATTGAATGGAATTAGTGCATCGCAATCAAATTATTCCTCAAAAGTTCCGTACATGAAAGCGCATAATAGAGAAACAATCAAAGATCATTAAGTTCTATGAAAATCATAAGTATTGACAAGGCATTCGTAACTATGAAAGCGAATGATACTTATGCCAAGAATTTATTTAACATGATTGTGACTAACAACCTTTACTACTTATGAATTTAAGTTCATAACGATTAGGTGAAACTCCCTTATATCCTAGCATCATATTTATGCATGCAAATTAAGTGTGCACTCTCAACCCATATACATAAATAAGTTTTAATTCAAACATATAAGTAAATTGAATTCACAATTCATGAAATCACAATTGGATGTAATCAAATCATATTGCAAATATAGCCATGGTTACGAAATTCCTCCTAGCTAAGAGGGGTTTAGTTCCTCATACTCACAAAACAAAGATTATTGAATTTAAACATTGAAAGCAAAAGAAAGATTACACCTAAAATGTTCCAGCAACTCCAATTCGAATGGCAGGCACGTCTAATGGCTCACCTCCTTCTTGCTTGTTGCAGCAGAAGGTATGGTTGGTGGTTTTGGGAGTGATGGATGGTGTATTCTTGTTTAGGATGATGAATGCTGGCTGATGAGGGTGAAAGGTTACGGCAGGTTGTGTTTTTGAATGGTAAGGGTTGGTGGACGAATTTGTGGCTGAAAACATCTTTTTATAGGCTAGGGTTTTCACAAATTCTGATGGGAAAAAGCTTAGGATTTTCGGCCAAGGCTTGGGCCTCAATCCAAGGGGGAAAAGAACTAGGGTTTGTGCAGATTTTAGGGTTTCTAGAAGGGTTTGGGGCGCCACTTTTGTAGGGAATTCTAGAAACAATGTTATGTGGCTGATTTCTAGAAGAACAAAGCCTAAAAACATGCAACACCAATGTAGGAACAGATAAGGCCTTCTAGAAAGGTTTCTAGGTGATTTAATCAGAAATTAACTCCCCCTTGCAGCAGGAATTAAGTTAGGAAAAGATTAGGATATGATAGGATAAGATAAGGTTTGTTTGGATAAGATAAGGTTGGATAAGGTTTTGGATAATATCTTCTTCTTCTTTTAAGCTGATTCCTTATCTTCTTTGTCTTGAATTTAATTTCTTCATCTCCTTATTAGATTTCTAGCCTTTTGAACTCCAAATTCGTCCATCCATCTTGGCCCATACATGTGCTATCCATTTAGTGCCCAAAACTGCTCCAAAATGCACCAAAATGCACTTTCTTGCCAACTTTGTCATTAGGACCTACAAACACACGAAAATAGCTTAAAACACTATAATAAACACAAACTAACTACGAAAACGTAAGAAAACAAGCTACTAAGTCACATAAATATGCTCCTATCAGATATGTGAGTTGATGTGAAAATTATGTTGACACACAAATTAACCCTCTTTTTATCAATTGTAGCAAAGTATGTAAGTAGGGATCGTTCTAAACCGGGGATTAGGAGGGATTGCAAAATCACTTGAAAACTGACTCAAATACGTAAAAATCACTAAACTAGACTCAAAGAATGCAAAACTAAACTTAAAAACACCAAAACAAACCAAAAAAAACTCAAAATAACCCAGAAACACTCAAAACTGCCTTAAAACCACAATCTGGGCAGTTTTGAACACTAGACACAAACTTGGACGAAAATTGGTTTTCACTTGATCTAAGACACTTAAAAACACAAACTAAAGTGATTTCTAACTACTATGACTCAACCAAGTAAAGGGGGATTGATTTTGGACGAATTTAACTTTTAAAACAAGAACTTTGAAAACGAACTTTAATGAAAACGATTTTGATGAAATAAAATTGGGGAAAGGCTAGTTAGAGGGTTCCTTCTCCACACATGAAACCTATGCATATGACTCAATTTCCAATTACTCTTTCAATAAACCATGAATGACAATGCCCCAAATTAACTAGATTGACCAATTAATTCTCAGATTTCCCTAGATTCATTGAATTGAATGGGATACGCATTACAACCAAACTATTCTTATGAAGGACCCTAACTATGGAATACGCATGATAGAGACACATATCAAAGATCATTAAGTTCAATGGAAATCATAAGCATTGACGAGGCATTCATAACTATGGGATACGCATGTTACTCTTGCCTAGGATTTACTTAACACAATCGTGACTAGCGACTTTTACTACTTATGAATATAAGTTAATAACGATTAGGTGAAATTCCCTTATACTCTAGCATCAAATTCATGCATGCGAACTAAGTATGCATCCTTAATTAACACACAAGAACAAGTTATCAATCAAATAGATAAGTAAACCACATTCACGATTCATGAAATCATAATTGGAAGAAATCAAGTCATATAAAACATATGATCATGGCTTTGAATTCCCCTCTAACTATAAAGAAATTAGTTCCTCATGTTCGCAAATAAACAAAGATAAATAAATTTAAACATTCTAACAAAGATAGAAAACACCTAGAATCGCTCCACAATCCAAGCTCCTTGAATGGCATGCACGGCTCCAAGAGTTCTTCCTTCTTTTACTTGCAAACTCATGGCACAATGAGGGATGTTGGGTGAATGGTATAGTGAAAATATGGTAGAGGATGGTGAATGAAAGGGTGCGGCAATGGGTTGTATATATAGGCTGAAAATCCCATCTCCTAGGTAGCAAAGGACAAGGTTTTAAAGGCCTAAATTGCATAGGATAATAACATCCAATCCTATAAGGAAAACAAGTCAAAAACCCAAAGGGATTGGGAGATAAGGTGCAGCACAAGAGTGTGAAATGATAAGGTTTCTAGAAACCAAAATCCTAAAGGAAATAGGGTAGA